TTCTAATTTCATTAAATCACTCAAAAGAGAGTCACTATTGTGTAAAGGTTAAGACATGAGGCTAGAAACCAGGTGATCATGAGTTCTAGGCCAATTATTGTCTTTCAGCCTGGGAAGGAGGTAATGATAAACCACCTCTGAAATCTTGCCACAAAAACAGCAGAGTTGTCTAGATGGTTTCCCAGAATCAAAAATTGACTCATATGTTCTCTCCCTCCCTCCTTCTCCCTCCCTCTCCCTCTCCCTCATCAGACACACACACACTTACTTTCTAACAGACACGCGTATTGTTTTTCTGTTTATAATTTTCCACTTTCTGAAAATTTCAAGCAAATTACTGGGCTCCTTTCCTTCCTGCCAGTTCCCAGGATCTAATTCCCAAATATGGATAGTGGATACTGATCCTAATATAAATAAAAAGCAACAAAGTTGAAGTACTTTTTTCAAAGTTTATCAGAAAATAAACAAGTGTTATATGGTTCCTTGTCAGCATCTGCCACCTGTTGGTGAGATATCACCCATGTTATTCATAAAGCACAATAAGCAGCTAGTAAGCCTGGAGAAGGAAGTTTTTAATTTAGATGAAGACCTCCCACATGCATATTTTTCATTTACAGCCAATATTCTTGCAAACAGCTACAATGTACATGTTATAGTCTATTTGTTAGTATGCTTAGCTGAGATTTTATCGTAAGTCCTATGTTATTTAAAAATCAACTCAGTTTCTAAAGAAGCAATTCATTTATAGAGAAGATCAGTCTACATATCTGCTGAGCTAAGAAAGTTGTATGCATGATGATCGAGTATATCTTAAGCCTTTCTGGATGTGAAGAGCAGGCAGGATCTCTACATTTCTGCTTTGTGTTATATACAGGTAGTCTTTTACTTACAAAAGTTTGTTTAAGGACTGTTCAAAGTTATAACAGCACTGAAAAAAGTGACATGACTATTTTTCACTTACAACCATCTTCATAGTCATGTGATCAAAATTCAGATGCTTGGCAACTGACTCATATTTATGATGGTTGCAGTGTCCCAATGTCATGTGATCACATTTGACGACCTTCTGACAAACCAAGTCAAAGAGGAATCCAGATCCATTTATCAACCGAGCTACTAACTTAACAGCTGCTGTGATTCAATTAACAATTGTGGCAAGAAAGGTGATAAAATGGGGCAAAACTTGCTTAACAAATATCCCACTTAGCAACAGAAATTTTGGGTTCAATTGTAGTCATAAGTAATGAACTGGAATAAGACTGCACATTCTCCTTGTCTTTCTTTTTCCTTTTCTCCATATCCCTCCCCTTGTGTCATTCATCAAAACAAGGCAATATAATGAAAATGCTACTGGGAACAAAGTTCTAATATCCAGAAATAACTGGAATATTCTATTCTGTAAAGCTTACAAAATGATTTTTGTTTTGTTTTCCTCTTCATATTAAGTCAGCACTTCTGCATCAATATATGCATTATGTATAATATCCAGAATATGTACATTATGAGACAATATATGTATCTTGAAGGGAGAATGGGTGGTTCAATTATCCATATTTCTTTTCTATATTCAAGTTGCATTTGGATTAGGACAGGACTAACAGATATGTGGATTCCAGATTCTCCTGTTCCCATCTATTTATCTAAAATATATGGGTTATTTTATGAAATATTAAATGTGGTGAATTATTATGGAAATATTGAGCTGTATATTGAACACTGGATGCATTTAAAAGATAGCATTTCCTATGATCTTGTAAAATGTCAGAAATGTGATGTTTATTTGGATAAAAAGAGAACAGTGTTATTTTTTTAATAACTTGTGCAATGCCTCAGTAATGTATGAACTAATATTTCCTGGAATAAGAGGAAGCTATTTATACATCAGAAGTAAATTTAGCATCTGCCTGGTTGCTAAGAATTTCTTGGAACATGCATGGATTGTCCTCCAACTCTTAGATCAGCCCCAATTCTAGTAGGACTTCGTAGGACATTCTTTTATGAGCCAAGGTGGCGCAGTGGTTAAATGCAGCACTGCAGGCTACTGCTAGATCAGCAGGTCAGCGGTTCAAATCTCACCGGCTCAGGGTTGACTCAGCCTTCCATCCTTCCGAGGTGGGTAAAATGAGGACCCAGATTGTTGGGGGCAATATGCTGACTCTCTGTAAACCGCTTAGAGAGGCCTTAAAGGCCTATGAAGCGGTATATAAGTCTACTGCTATTGCTATTTTAGTAGTTATTTCTCCTGAGATTACCTCACAACGGAGTTGAATGATTAAAACCATTGTGAATTCGCCCTTTTATAAAATCATCCCAATGTTATAGGAATTATGTCTTCATTATCTACTGCAAATCATTCTTTACATTGCATACTGAAAGTGGCAAAACAGTCAGGTTTATACAAGAGAATTTTGAAACATAATGGGTTTTAAGTCAAAAACCTTTCAGATTAATACATTTCATAGGAGACTACCAAAGAAATATAGTTCAGGAAAACTTTTTTAAAGTATTGCATATTTTTACAACCAAAGACAAGCAAATAATGTTTACAACATGGATAACCAATCTCAGAGATAAGAGTTTAATAATTACACACTTTTTACATTATGAAAATAAGTCATAAATAGTGTAAAAATAATTCTGAAGTTCAACTTCTCACAAAGTTGGGACAAAAACCAAATACAAAACTAAAACAGGGGCAATTAAAACATTTATAAGCATAAGAAGAACCAGAATTTTTTTTAAAAAAAGAAAATGAATCATCCTATTTGATAAAGCTCAGTCTTGTTTTAATTCTGAACCAGAGGCTACAACAATACAAAAATTAATATCAGATAAAAATGGTGACTTAAATCTTACAACTATTTGCACACATATTGTTTTCAACCATGATATTATACCTAGAATGGGATATGAAAATGGCTTAGAGTATTAATGATTTCTTCCAAGTAGGAATAATTTTCCTCAAATGGCAGATTTCTGCTTTTAACAGATATCATTATGAAATATGGAAATACCTGCACATACAGATACTTTATAAAAAAGTAAAAAAGCAAATAAAATACAATATTTTCCAAAGCAAGCAGACAAATAAACAAAAACAACCTAACCCCAAACCAGATACATACACCTTTAAAAATAGGTTGTAAATTATTATAGTTTCCCAACATGTACAATGGCATAATATCCACAATGAACAAGCCCATTGGCTTGTATGAACATTAGAGATGACCATTTGTTCCATTTCACTTCTTCAAGATAGTGGTCCAGGACAAGCTCGGACAACGTTAAGAATATGTTTAAAAAACATACATTCAACCCCAAATGAAATGTTTTTAAAATATCACCAGTACCAAATATAACTGTGGAAACTGCTGAATTTTCATTTAAACATATATAGTAAGATCTGAATAAGGCCCCTATTCTCTGAAGAAAAAGAAAGATGCCTTTCAACAGTAATTTTTTTAAAAATAAATTTTCCAGTCCGTCCATTGTTTAATTGTTTGGAAAACTTTGTCTAATGTTCAGACAGCTGTATTGAGAAAACATTTCTCTATATTTAGCCAGCCTTCAGATAGGCTGAAAAAAACCATTTCAAATTTACCATTCAAATCAATATGAATGAACCATTTATTTATTAGTTGTTGTTGTTTTAATCCACCATGATCCAAAAGGTTTTGGTGGGTTTTTGCTATATGACTCTTACCATATAGGAAAAAAAAAAACGGGTAAGAAAAAAAACCTTCAGCACTTAATAACAATATTAATAGCTGACATTCCAGAACAAAAAATGCCCGCTAACTTCTCATAATATGTATTTTTTCTAAGGTACAGTATAGCTTATTGTATGAAAATTGTACATAGACTAAAGATGCAGATGTACAGCTAAAATTACATAATAAAATAGCAATGATAATTAGGAGGCTTGCAAAATATGTAAAATATTAACCTTACATATCTGAAGATGTCCATTATTCCATTTCCACTTAAAATTATGATACAAAACAGTTCTGTTATACAAACAAATCGAATAACATATTCTTATGGCTACCAATACCCTATAAAAATAAGGCTTCATCCAGGCATTCCAACTGGCCATCAGGGATGTCCAATTTGATTCCTAGATTGTCTCTGGCCTATTTCTTAAAGCGTCTTAATATTTTGGCACTTTTTATTTCAGCAAAAGTGAAGCATTCAAACAGATTTTCAGCACTCTACGTAATACTGTCTGGAGAGGACGTTATTCAAGTTTTTAATGACACAGATAAAGGTAAACAGGAGTTACCTTTTTCAGTGCTTCTCTTTTAAATAGTTTATAAATATTAAAAACTAGAGTACATACTATCACTTCAGAACATAGGCCAAGTTTCCTTGAGGTGATTAACCTTATCACAAGAGAATATCTCTGCAAGTCCACTGCATTACATATACTTCTCTTCTTATCATCCTATTTAACTGAATACATTAAACAAGTTGCTGGTAGAGATTTTGGTATACTTGGTAAGATTTATATTGATATTGCTATGTTTTTTATTTATATAGTGGAAAGCAATATATTAGTCTGTTTTTCTAAATTAGCAATGAGATAAAATCAGGAAAGGAAATATTTAGCTTTAGATATTATGAGCGATGGTTGTCACTTTATGCTTACTATTATATCTTCTACACATAATACTTCTTTTTGTGGACCTGAAAATGAAACACCTTAAGGGATTTCAGGAAAGATGAATCAAAAATATGTTATTTCTTTGTACCTCTGAAAAACACTACCCAATAAATGTTGTTGGGAGGGAAAACTTCAAAAAATAAAGTAATAAGGAAAATTAGAAACGGGAAGTAAACAAATATATATTGTCTCCAGTCAGGATATAAAAACAAAAATAGGCAACAAAAAATCTATATCATTGTAAGACAAAAATTTGAAAGTTTAAAAACAAGAGAAAAAAATGCAATTTAAACTGTAATATATTAGCATAAATGATTAATTTGGAGGAACTTTGCAAGAAGAATGGAAAACATTTTAGCACCAAACTAATTCTTAAATGTCAACATAAAGGTCTTCAGAACCTTTATGAACAAGTCTTCAGAAAACAACTACATAGCCAGACTAAGCACATTTTTGTTTTTAACAGGGATTTTTAGGATCCAGGCACCATTGTGTTATTTCCTTTTACTTCAAAATCTAACGAGTCAGATTAGCATGTAGAGTTAGCACAATGGTATCAATACAATGGATCTGATTTTAACAATATAAATAAGAATTAATCTATGAATAGCCTGAAACAGCAAGTGTTTTTTTTTAAAAGATCAGCAAACATTTGCAATGATTGCTACAGCTGGAAAATTACAGCTGTTATAAGACAAATTGCTGCTTCTATTAATTTATGGCTACATGCTCATATTCTCAGTCCATATATTGTTAACTTCGGTACAGACTAGATTCTTTTCCATCAACCTGCACACAGATTGATAAACATTTGTAAGTGTACAATTTCATTCTAAACTTAGTGATTGATATCCTATCATTAACTCATTTAAATATCAACTGAAAAATAAACTAACAAACAAACCAGGGTCAAAGGCCTGATTTTCTGAAGGGATCACCACAACGATTTTCTATTTTTGATTAGTATGCTTGGCCATAGGGTAAAGCCACAGGTTTGATATTTCCATGCAGCCCAACTATTCTACTTCCTCATCTTGTATTCATAGAGCTAGTATTATTAGCTTTACAAACATAAAAAGAAAGGTAATGTTTAATGAGAAGATAAGGAACACTCATAGTCCCAGGCATTTTATTTTATAGGTAAACTCCTATGAAGTGGAGGAAAAAGAACTTAAAAAATAATTTGTAAATGGCACCTAAGTTTATTTTTACTGTGGCCATTCAGACTGTAATGATTCTCATAAATAATTTGTTGGGAATGTACAGCCCAGTGCTTGTCCATTATGCTTACATATGAGTAATATCTGATCAGATCTAAATTTAAATGAATATGGTTTGAGAAGATAGAGTAAGAAATAGTTTACATTACAGAGAAATGCATAAAAGATTGTAGGAAAAGGAGTGGCAGATCCAAAAGAAGAATCAGTTTATAGTTTCTATGTATTCACATATAGACTATGGTAAATCCAATCCCTCTTGAATTCAGTTGATTCTAATGACAAAATATGGGTAACCATTAGTTAAGCTTCTGTGCAATAGGAATGAGTAATAATAAATCAGTTTAATTGGAACTTTATATATGGTCCTGATGTTACACACCTAACAAAGATTAATATACAGGAAGTGTATGCATGGAATTCAACATTATCCATCAACCAGAAAAAATGGAGGTAATTGTTTCTCTAGCTACCATTAGCTCCACAGACATAATTTTTTTCTTGGATAATTGGACAACTCTTCAGAGTAGATTTGGGAAAATGTTTGAGGATGAATATTCTATGCAAAAAGAGAAAGGAGTTTCTATCTTACAAACAAATGATCTGCATTACATGGATAAAGTGTATGTTAATATATACTGAAATACGTGTATTTATGTGTGTGTACGCAATTATACATGCATACACAGACTAATTTTTCCTATTTTTGCATTTCAAAAATTTCAATTCTACCTTTCCATGCAGACAGGACAAGTTTTGATAAAAAATATAATAAAACTACAAGAAAATATTTATTAAAAGCAGGCATTCATTTCTCTGAATTTCCTGAGCACTAAATCTTTTTTCCTCTGCTGTTGAGAGGTTATGACTGAAACACTTGCTAAAATGTTAATGTGAAAGCTTCAATATTGAGGAAAAGATCCTTAGTTCAAAAAAAGCAATAAAAATGCTATACATATATTGTTTTTATTAATTATTATTTATATTTATTGGCCACTCATCTCCAGTAGATTCTGGGTAGTGCACAAATGATCTGTAAACAAAAAATTAAATTTAAAAAAGGAAGTAAGGGATATACTAAGGGTAAAAAATAGTACTGAGATTTAACTAATATTTGGTACGGTGATAAATATAATTCCATTTACAAGCTGATAAAAATGATTTTTTTTCAGCAATGGATATTTATTTGTTAATCTAGTTTTAAAATATCCCTCTGACTTTTTTTTGAAAGTGTATGGAATTTCTTATTTGGTCAGACCTTTAAAAAGTTACAGAACATTCATTAAATGTAATGACCATATGAACAATAACAGTATTTCTTCCTCCCCCAGCAAAATAATTAGCAACATTAATTCATTTCTTAGAATGCCTTCAAGTATACATTAGAATATAAGCTTAAATATAAACATATTAAATAGAAGGATTCAAAACAGAAACATTAAAAAAATTAAGATGAAAATAGCAATATATTTGAGATACAAAGTAGCCTATGCTGTAGCTCCTACCAATTCCATACTATTTGGGTCCTGGAACCCCAGCAGTGATGTAGTATAATTTTTAAAAAATGAATAGATGAACAAGTTTTTAAAAAAGAACTTTACTTTTGGAGAAGTCCTTTTATATGTCTAAACAACTGCTGAAAAAAATTAAACACAAATATGTTCTTCAAAACGTGAATGTCTATAAGCATGAAAGCAAAGAGGCTATTTGCTTTAACCATTGATCAATTATAATTAAATATATTCTCCAAGCCCGTACATGCATATGCCATTGCACAGGAATTTCTAAAATCCAAATGGCAAACCATGAAAAGTCAACCGCATTTCATTATATGAGAAGAAGGCATTTTATGGTGACCTTTGTCAAAGCACTTCTTCTATCATCTTGAAAATACAACATGTGAAACACATATTGTAGCAGTCTTTGAATATTACATTGTCCACCAGTTGATACTAAGACCTATCATTGAATGAGCCATTTGATGTCTCTGCAACTCTATCATCTTACTCATAAAGCATGATCTTCATCTTCTTTCATTCTTGGTAAAACTATCCAACATGTGTGGAAATCCATGCTTCTTGACTGTGAGCAATGCAAGCAAACAGAGGCTGATGAACAGGTATCATCCTTCTTTTTCACAAAGATGGTTTCATAACCCAGAAGACTGAAGGCCATTCACCGTCAGAAGGAACTGAAGTTCCCTCCAAATTCAAGAGCTTTGTCTTAATCTCCTTGTATCATTTTTTTGCAATAAGCCATGGTGTGACTCCCTTGAGATGATAGAAAGAACAATTCAACGTGTCAGGTGAAATTGGCAGCAAACAGCCATTGTAGCATATGACAGCAAGCAACCATTGTAGCACAACAAGCTGTTTTAGCACACAAATCATGCTTTTGCTCAAGCAAGTTTGGGAAATGGAGCAGTGATAGAGTTTATGAGGGTGAACACAGCAACAGAATCATTATATTCCAATGGCAATCTATTATCAAGTTCATTTGTGGTCACAAATTAATGTAACCTAATTCATGGCACTTCTTCTCCACGCTTGTCCACAAGCCAAATAAAACAAGACTGCAACCAAAAAAATAAAAGTAAAAAAATAATAATAATCCCAAAATGTAAAAAAGGAAAACTACAGAAATAATTCAAATGTCTATGAATGATCACTCTATTGGGATTAGCTCTGTAGACAGAATATTTGGATTCTGTACATTTATTGCACAGTTTATATTTGCCAGATTGCAGCCATATATACACATGACTACTACAAACAAATAGAAGCAGTGCTATGTAAACATATTTCAAACTTGTAAAACCAATGCTTCCATTTTCAATTATAAATACTGGAGGTGATGTATTATATACACAACTTCATGCTTGCAAAGTTAGATTCATCACTGCAAAGAAACAAAGAAAAACATTTTAGCAATATTAGTAGTATTCAAATATATGTTTCAACTGTACAAATAATACTAAGCTGGATAAAGTGGAGTTCTTCCCACAGAATAAAATACTCTCAGTTTATAGGAGTAAAAGGAGGGAGAGAGGTTGTTTTTCCCTTCTTCCTGCCGCATTACTGAAAACTGGTTAGTAAAGGGAAAGCAGCAATTCTTTTTTCTTCATTTGTTTATATTCTTTCCTTGGGTTGACAGGTGCCATTTTGCCTACTGATGCTTGATCGTATATAATATTGACGAGATTAAAATGGTAAGCATAAAAGTATTTGAGTAATCTTACCTTTTGCCAGCAACCAGGCATTGGTAACCCATCTGGTCCCTGTTTGAATAAGGAAAATCAAAGTATACTGTTAAGTTTGATAATACACCGCACCAATGCTAACATAATTTCATGCCTCAATTGTATTTAGGAAAATGAGCAAAATTCAAACAATATAACAGATGTAGTACATGGCAATTTTTGAAATTCTTATGTATATAATCATATGTTCCCCATGCTTTCAGAAGAGCAATTAACTGCAACCATACGACTGTACAAATAGTTGAAGTCAATTCAGAGGAACACCATACATTAACAAATGCCTTATTCCATGCAAACATATTTATGGCTTTGATCCATATATAATAGTGATAATGGATGACAGTTATAACCCCAAGCATGTTATAGATCTTTTGGTTTTGAGTAGGATTAGTTAGTCCTTCTCAAGAAAATTAGATAGACTTGGAAAAATATAAAATAACCAAAACAACCTTTCATAAGCAAGCATCGCTTCTGTCTGGAATACACTGGAATTACTTTCCCAAAATAATATAATTTAGCTACACTCAAACAGGATGGCACATCTTCAATATGCAATGTTTGAAATTAAAAGTATATAAAGGAAAACAAAATAAATATAACTTCTCAGAAATTATGAAAAGGTAATGTCCATAACTGATGCTGATAGACATTATTAAGCTCATATAGAAGCATTAGTCTATTGCATCTGGTTAACTTGATTGGATTTACATTTATAAAGTAAATGTTTAGGTTCTTATGAATGCTAAAAATTATCCATTTCTACGTGGGAAACTATTCTACAAAGTTTGCTAGTAGGTAAGAGGGGGCCTGTGGACTACTTTCTCTCTTTGCTGTTTTAACAATACTGGATATTGTTAATAAGACAGAGTACCTTAATTTTAAGTTGCTATTGGTTAAATCTATGGTGTCTATCTTTGACTAAAATCAGAAATTTTGTTCAAATAAGTTTAGTTCTTTTGTCTAAACTATATTCTGATTTTAAATAGAGAGACTTCATTCCTATTAACTTCAGATCAATTATATCAGGCTGAGTCAACATAAGGTATTTGTGCAATAATTGCAAACAATAGCATATCTTTGTTCTGAAGGATAACAAGCCAAATGTTATTCCAATTATAAGATACTGTAGTATGTTATCAGGTACTATTAAATCTAAGAATTTGGATTCTGATAATTATGTATTTCTCATTGGTAAAGTTGTGGGATTATTAGATTACTTAGGATCACTACTTGAATATAGGGAGAGGCTTTATGTTACAGTATTTGCTTGAAAATTATAAGAAAATGAAACATATTTGTAATGTCTAGTAAAACATTTAGTTGAATGTTAGGATAAATTTCTCCTCCTTAGTTTATCATTTGATAATGTGAATAAAGAGAGACAGTTTGGAGTAATGGTTATGGCATCAGGTTAGAAACTAGGAGAGTTGTGAGTTCTAGTGAGGAGAGAGTACGTTCTTCAGGCACAGAGTCAGGGGTATGACCTTAGACCAGTTACTTTCTCTCAGCCCTAAGAACGAGGCAATGGTAAACCACGTCTGAAAAACCTTTGCGAATCTTCCAGAGATTTGTCCAGGCAATCTTCAAAAATTGGACATGATTGAGTAGAAGAGGGGGAAAAACCTTGAATACACATAAAAAACAACTAAGCAAAAAGTTGCTAACAGGTGCCTTAGACTGAGGACAGTTTTCACTGATTTCCAGACAGAACCAATACTATACTGTCAAATATATGTTAAAGAATTATGAAGGCATGCTTTATTTATTTGCAATCAAATATATAACAATATGTTATTGTTAAACGATGACAAACAAAATAAAACATGGACTTTATACTTAAAGGCTTTCCTGACAATTTAGATCAGTGTTTCTCAACCTTGGTGACTTTAAGTCCTGTGGACTTTAACTCCCAGAATCCCCCAGCCAGCTATGCTGGCTGGGGGATTCTGGGAGTTGAAGTCCACAGGACTTAAAGTCACCAAGGTTGAGAAACACTGATTTAGATTATAGATATGCTTTTAAAAATCCACTAAATCTTTCCATTCATTTTTAGAGAATCGTGCTTAAACTATACACACAGTATCAAAACATGCAGATCAAACATAGCTACCCTTTTAAAATGTTTTTGGCATTTTCTAGAAATGTGTAGATAATGATGATTTTTTTTTAAAAAAAACATATTTTCGTAATATTGAAATGTTTGCCAGATTGGTACAAGGGAAAAGGATCAACAAGTAGAATTTTAGTATAGGTAGGTGCTTGAATTCATGCTAACAAAGAGTAGGGGACTGTTGTATGTATTGTGGGAAATTAAGATCCAAAGGAAAGACTGTTATGCTGGAAACATTTAAGAAACAGACAATAAGTGCTTTGGGCTGCAGGCCATTAATTCCTTATGAAGGATTTATAAAGCTTATTTTTTAAGTGAACATAACATTGCAATCTGTAGTAGGCGTGATCATGGGAATAGCAGACAGGTAAATCTATTCAAGAACATTCCCCTGTTAAAATAACCTACATAACTATATAATTCTGTGAAAGAATATTTATAACCTAAACTGAACAATCTTGTGCTCAATGTATCCTTTAGTTAGTGTGTCCCATAACTAAGTATAAATCTAATCCAGAAATCGCAGAACAAAAGCTAAACTGAGCATTCCAGTTAAACTGCCTATTGTAATGCATTATATCATTCCCCTCCATTACTGTAGATAAATTCTGCACTCTTTGAAACTGTTTGCATTGATCCTTAACCACACAGTGGGCCTGTCTCCCTGTCATCTATCTATTAGATAAGCAGAAGGTCAAGCATGGAGATAATGCTAACTCCAGGTCATACCTTCCACTTGTTCATCACTCTCTTTAGCTTCCTTCTGTACACTTGCCCAAAAGCAAATAGCAAACCAAGTTCTCAATTTCCTCATTGGCTTAATGAGAACAGATGATAGTCAAAGCAAATAAATGGAATATCAGGAACAGAAACCCCAGAGGTTGTCAAAGGATTAGCGTGTGGGCAATTAAGAGTTCCTTGCCTAGGTTGGCTGTTCATGCCCATCCTGTAAAAAGTTAATAGGAATAGACACATAAGATAGATTGTTTTGCTTGAGGTATATGGATCCCCAGTGAAGCCATACCCCCAAAAGTATCCCTATACACTTAATGTGCTTTGAATGAGAATTTTTCTTCTTTTCTTAGGCACGTATTCTCTGGAGTCCTTGGTGGTTCCTGAGCTTGGTTGTTTGCTTGCAGACATTCCATTATATAATCAGTGATAGTAAGTGAACGGTTTCCTCCTTGTTTATATTCAATAGCTTAGCTTCTCACTTTTGGTGGGAGTTGAGAACAAACCCCACACTCACTAGTATGGTGGTGTTACCTAGTTGAATAATGAAATGTCTGCAAGCAAACAACCAAACTCAGGGAGCACTAAAGGCCCCACAGTTGAACCCTGAGGAAGTTCTCTTCTATTGGAAGTATATACTATATTACTCCAGTGCCATCTTTTTTAAAAATAAAGAACATGCAAATATAGCTATGATTAAAAATCATAAAACCTGTTTATGAGTGAGGTCAGATGGAATCCACACTTATGGGTGGGGCAAGTATTAATGTGATGTGTGATATCAGTAGTTCAGTCATGGGATACTGTGGATCTATTCTGTTTCAGCAGAGGGAATTTTCATTCATATTAAGTATGGCAGAACATGTTTTATTGGTGATGGGAAGGATGGTGAGAAAGACAACTATCTTAAATAGAAAATTGCATTTCACTGCAGATGTTGGAGTACAATAACTTCAGAGCCACTGTGCAATGTAAATATGAGTTGCCAGTATTATACTGCTGATGCTGAGAGGTGGAGTGATCTCTGGATACTGTTATCATCACCAAGGCAGGCCACTTTGATCATGCACATGCATGTATGGGCACATATAATGTAAAGTCTGGTTACTGTGAACTTTACATTGGAAACAGCTGATTAGAAATATAGGATTCACATGCAGGGTTGGAAGGAAAGAACAATACTGTACCAATTGGCAAGGGGCATCCAGCCCATCCAGACCAGGCTGGCCTGGCTCCCCTTTTTCCCCCTTAATTCCACGGAATCCCTGTTTGTAAAGATTAACTTGCAACGTTACTAAGAAATGTCTTTTACATCAACTTTGCTGGAACAAGCAAATAGAAAAAAAGAGGAGCAAGCTGACCAGAAGAGGACCACAGAAGAATGTGGGTCCTTCCCTTCTTAGATCTGTAGTTGAACACATGATCTACATGGCAAACATGAGGTCGCACATGAGCCATTGCACCACAAATTATGGAAGACTCTTTCATTAATCACAATTTGAAAAACTTCAAAGGATATTTTACATGGAAACAGGCCAGATCATGATTAGGTTTAAAGTGCATTGTGTTTAAATGAATAACAACTTTGTTCAAACTGTAGCTTGCTCCTCTCTGCAGTATGACATATTGCTATATTATCTACTGTAAGAGGAGACATTTCCAAGAGATGAGTGAGACATACCAATGGACAAGGTGCATCTAATCCAGGGGCACCCTGTTCTCCTTTCTCCCCTTTAGGCCCCTTTTTGCCTTTCTTTCCCTTTTCCCCCTGTGGACACAATGGTTTGGATAAAACATGTTTTATTCTTTTTCAGGGAATCAAAAAGATCTCTTTTAAAAGTTTTTGTTTGTTAGCCAATGGAGGGCTGAAAGGACACTTACCACTGTGTGCTAGTTTGCAGGATGCATTAGGTAAAAAAATAAGTTATATGATGATCAGAACCATTAACTGCATCGGTTTGGTTATATTGTTCTTCTGCGTTAATGCAATGATGACGGGTACTTTGAATCCTAAAGCAGGACTTGGAATTGTGAATTAGGTTGAATTTTTTCATCCTAAGAGGTCATCAAAAACTTGCCAGTCATTTAAAAAACAAGGGTTTGTGATACTTTTCCTAAGAGTTGTGTTGGGTCTACTTTCCTGGGCTTGGTTTTTTTTGCAAGAAGATCACTGTTTTCCTCAGATAGATTTACATCTCATTGGGGAAGAACCTTCTATTTATTATTTGCACAACCATCTTTTTAGAGGCAAGTGTCTCTCAATATCCCTGAAATTAATTAGTAAGACCCTGTCAATAGTGGGTTTCAAATTTTTTTAAAACCTCTTCTGTAGGTGTGGCCTGCTTTATGGGAGTGGCTTGCTGGCCATGTGACTGGGTTGGTGTAGCTTGCCAGCCATGTGACTGAGTGGGAGTGGCTTGGCGCTTAGCAACCAAAATGTTGGCTCAGAAACTCTGGCATTTGAAGCACGCAGGTCTTAAAACTGTCAAGTTACAAGACCTTTGCACCCCTAATCCTTTAAAAAAAAACCCAGGGGTGTTCAAACTTGACAGCTTTAAGATTTGTGGACTTCAACTCCCAGAATTCCTTCTCTCGCTTTTCATCTTGATGATGTGCGGACGGGTGGGGGGAGGGAGCTGGAACCGGTTCTAAACAGCACTGTAGATTTGTGGAACCTCTTCTGTAGAAGAAGTTAGAACTGGCAGGAACCCACCCCTGGACCCTGTCTACAAGGACTTCCTCTTCTTCCAATGGAAAGAGAAAATTCTTTGCATATATCAAGCTGCTCATCCTTACAGAAACTCTACATCTGTGCTCATGAGCACATTCCCAGTTCAGAATTATCTCAATATACAGTACACCGAAGGCATCAGTTTTAGAGCTAGATCAGCTTTTTCCAATCTGGTGATGAGGTTTATTTCTCAGAAGACAGATGGCCCGATAAGGTTGCAAAAATGTTACATCATTCTCAGTGTTCTAAGCTGGATGCACTGTTAGAATCTCAGAGTTGGGTTCACAATAAGAAAAAAAGTTGGACTTAAAGGGTCAAATTTTAATGTTTGTTGCAAGTTGTGCCACTTGATTTTTCTTTAGGAATTCTATTAAGATCTAAATAGAATGTTAAGATGTTCAGATAATGCCCTTTTAAAATATTCAGGTAAAGGGCTTGCATTAGGGATCAACTTTCCCCTAATACGGGGGTGTTAAACTCCTGGCGTCACATGGGCATGGGTGTGCCCAGTGCATGACAATCCGGCCCACGGGCCATGAGTTTGACAGCCCTGCAAATAGAATCATAATAGAAGATAAAGTCCTGTTTAACACAACTGAAAGGCATTAGGTTGAAGAAGCCAATGAAGAAAATTAAGTGATAAAGTTCAAATTCCTTGTCCAAACTTGCGAAAGGATTGTGAAGACCCAGGTATCTCAATCGATTATTCTGATGCGTTTCCACATTAGAGCTCTATATTCTAATGCACATTTATTGGCATCCTTCCTGGATTAAAGTGTTCATGTCCCTAAATTAGAAACTTTTATGGTCTGAAAATAGGCATTCTTTCAAAGAAAATCTGCCATGTTTAGTTTGAGGCTTAACTTGAGAGATTTCTGTAAACAGATTTCACTACACAAATGCAATACTTGGAGACAAGAACAGCTACCTGACAAAAATGACTTTATCAGAAGGCAATGGAGGACACCTTTGACAACTAATTTAGAATTGTTTCCACACCTGATCAGTTACAATGGTAAATGAGTTTCAAGCTCACAGTTCTTAACAAAACCAAAAGTGACTCTATTTAAACACATAGACACACACAAATTAAGAATATTAGTGTAATGGAGATACAGCAGAAAGACAGTTAGTACCGCAGAACTAAGGAATGATTGTCAAGGTCTAAGCTGAAGGAAGGATTTAATTTGCAAGGAAAAGGGTAAAAAAGACCAGATGAATTTTAAGGAAACAAGGTAAGAGGAGAAGGGAGAAATGCACCTCTGGAAAGGCAGAGAAGATTAGGATGGTGTATAAGGAATAAACAGTCACTCATTTTCAAAACAAAAATATGCATCCATTTACAGCAGAAAATAAATATTTAGAACAATTGCTTTGCAATGAGTAATATTTAACACTTCAGTGCCTAAAGCAGTGCATTCTTAAAGTCACTCAATGAATCCCCCCTCCAAAATTAGAACCTCACTTTAAATTAACATATACAATGATTGTGCTAACATCTTTAAAAAGTGAAATTGCACAAAATGCACAATGTACTATGGCATAAGACAAAACATCTAATGAGTGTCAAACACAGTTTCATGGAGAGATATACTGTATTATATCCTACAACTAATATTAATTCATCCGTTTCAGGAGTAGGCCAAAATATAATGAACTCTAAAATGGTGAGGGGACCTCTTAGTAGTAACTGAACAATTGAAGATATAACTCAGAAACTATAAGTCAAAGGAATTAACTATGAAATACTTCATTTCCATTTAGGTTAGATCAACCTGACAGACTTTATCTTTAATATTGATAATTTAAGTTCTACATTAAAAAGTCATTTCCCCACATATGTTATAAATGGGGCTAACTCTGAACCCAGGGAAAAATCAGACAAAAGAGTGCTTTGTATGCCACTTTGAGCTGGAGAGGAGGTATGGGTGAATAAAGACGTGTCAGCATATAGAAACAAAAGTTTTCAGAAAAGGAAAATAAAACCCTTATTGCAGATTCTGATCAAACCATGAATCAAAAGAGCCAACAAAAATAGATTAGAGTAACTTGAGAGAACAATAAATGGAAAATAAATTGGGCCTTTTAATTTTGCTAATGCAAAAATATGGCTTCCCGCGCTTTTCGGATTTGACAGGGAATAATTATGTGGAACATTTTTATTGATACAAGATTTAGAATTAGACCTAATGTTTATAAGTTTTAAACAGTATACTAAATTACCATATTCATATATTTTAAGGGAAAATTTTAGTTTAAACATTAGTTCCCTATTTGCATCTAGAATATCTAGGGGTAATTATTTAGTTTCGAAAGCAATTTCATTTTGCACTTTGGCACAATTGACTCCACAAGACAAATTTTGAACTGACTGAGCCAGTCCGGTGTTCTTTTACAATTAACTCATCCAGCAAATAAATGATGTCCGGGAAAAATAAACACCAGGCAATGATATTGTGTACTATGATGCAATACTATTCTTTTAGGATTGATATCCTAGTTTTCGAAACTCTAACTGCTGTTCGTGTTCTTTAAACATGTAAGCATATAGTTAGCCTTCAAAGCAACATTTTGTTAGTCTAAGGGCCGCATCTTATTTTTCTCAAGCTGATTTTGGAGAGCTTCCAATTATCTCTGAAGCAAGTGACTCTGCGGTTATGATCACATAATATGCTTACTGACATTTAAGTTAAATTCTGGCTGCCTAAATTGCCTTAATATTTGCACATTACACTGAATCGATAATTAACCATACAGGTAGGAGGCACACAGCAGTCTGGGGTTTAGTGTCTTATCTAGTTGTTTCCAAATCTGGAAATGACTGATGAACCATTACCCAATCATGACAGGGACATTTAAATAAGGTCTTTCAGATAAAAAGTAACAAGGACTTTTTGATAAGTGGTTTTGGCTAATGAAGGAAAAAGTTTGAAAAACACTGGTCTAATCTGTGACACAGAACAAGTAAAGTGTGAATAGCCCATTAGTTATTATAAGAAGTGTCTTTTTTCATTCACTTCTTATTCAGCTGTAAATCTAGTACGTTTGATAGAGTTATGTTTATGCAGTTACATTTATGATTTTTCATAGAAACATACATTTGTATAGCAAAGTAAATAGGAAGAAACTCACAAAATAGCTGGGGGGGGGATGCAAGTTACCATTATTATTAAAATTGTCCACACTTAATTTTTTCTCCCTGAATGTCCCTGCTGTGCTCTCTTTATTCCTAAAAATATTACACTTTGGAAGCATTACTGCTTTGTCCTAAACCAGTTTGGCAAGCACAATTTAAAAAGATTGAACAGGTACATTTCCAAGCTAAGGTTGTACCAAATATAGTTTCTAGAAAGTGACAGAGACTGGTGCTGACGACAGCTAATTTAGTTTTTCCATTCAGACATAGTTTAATCCCCACTCTCCATGCTATACTTCATTGTTGCAGAAGGTGGTGCTGCAGCCCTGTTATATTTCACCCAATTCTGTTAATTAGAAATTGTTCCAGGGAATTGATTTCCCCAACATAGTCAACAGGGAAAACATGAAAACTTTGGAAAATGAGCTAAAGGAGGGAATAAGCCTAAACAAAGCTTATTTAGTATGAAGCTCATCAAAGTAGATCTCCCAATTTAGGTTTCATTTTCTGCCCAACCCCAATGAAATATTACACTACTGTTTACAAAATGACTTCTGTTTGATCTTTCAACTCTTTTATGAATTACACAACTGAAAAGGAACAGTTATACTGCTTACATCACATCCAAAGTGGTATGACTTTCATCTTCTATGGCTAGTAGAAGATGATTTTCATCTCCTGTGGCTAGGCTTTGGGAACGGATAAGTCAAGGAAGAAAGGCTCACGATAAGATTGAATATATGTAGGCTCTATGAACATGGATTTCCATTCTGGTTGCTGAGGAGGAATATACAAATATATAGGCTTTCTCCAGCAAAAAAATCATGCCTAATGCATGGTCATTACAGTTGGGACTAGAAGAAGCTGCCACTTCAAGGGCATAGACTGCAGTGTAATATCCTGCCATAATAAAGACAGTCTTTCATCTTTATGATGTGGGAAATAAGTATTATTACAAGCTTATTTCTTTGCTTATTAGCAATCTGATACAGCCAGCCAGCCAGTCCAATTTGGACTGCTTTGAGCAGTTTGATGTGAATTCCTGTCATTTCTTGTTTTTGGTATTTCAGAATCAAAAGTCATTTGAATTTTCACAGAAACCTAAGGAGAATACATTGGAAATCTTTCAACTGCTGGGATGTCTTAAATATCACCCACTGAACTAAAAAAGAAGACATTTACATGTATAAATGTTTGGGTATGTATGTATCAGTGCATAGTTTGCCTCGCAGTGAAAATAAACCTAAAGAACTGGGGAAAGTGGTCCATGCATGGGCCATATATGTGCATGTATTTCAAGCTCCCACACTGCATATTCTAGTAAAAATTCAATGATTGCATGTGAGTACAATCCAATGACAAGCATATTGAAGCTGTCTCAATAGGACTAAGTGCTTTAATTAAATGTTTAGCTATCACTTGCAGTAGGAATCTGATGCAATTAACTTGCCCGGAATTAGTCCAAAGTGCTCCTAGCTTGGTTTTCATCTTCTCAGCAATAAAGCCAGGTGCTTACAAAGTATAAATACAGAGCACATTTAATTGAAGTTTGTAGGCCTACCAGTATATCGATTTACAAAAGCCGTCACTCTGGCCCAGGGTCTCCTGTCCTATGGCTACTCCAATGTCTCTTGTCAGTAACTAGAGTATAAACAAACACAGACTGCAAGGAGTCTTAGAGGGGAGAAAACCTTTCTCCCACTGTGGAATATGCGCATCTTTTTAGATGTGGGTGGAAGCTTAGTTTCACAGTCTGACAAATGACTTTGTCTAGCAAAGCAGTGATAGGCCTTTTGGCACACAGAAGGCAGAAAGGCAGAAAGCTTAACGGGACAAATTGTAAGTCTGGGAGAGAGAGCGAGAGAGCAACTGACTAAGCTAAGTAATCAAACAACAGTTGAATAGCATTGAGGTCACCTTTTCTCCCTTTTCTCCCACATCACCCTTTTCTCCACGTGGACCAGGGAATCCCTATAAAAAATGAACAAAAATATCTCTATTGGCTTCTGTGTATTGATATGTGGGTTTATTTTTTATTTTTTTTACTGAAGAGCTATATGAGATGCACCCCGGCAACCCCACTCCCAAGAATACTGCATTGAGTAGTTTGAAACTAAAAAAAGAATTGATAGAAAATTACCCTTGTTTTCCTACATGCAAATTAGTGCTGGCAATGTTCAAGGACAAATGCTTCATAGAGGTTTAGTGGCACTGAACAAATGGGCAACAGCATTCTAATTAACTTCTCTCCGTTCCAAAGAATTTGCACAAACTGGAACACCTAACCGCAGCTTCTAATTTAATTCTGATAAGATATAACTCAATTGCAGTCAGCATGTGCAATCAAAGATGCTGTAGCAACCTGGTTCCCTGTGGGAACAACTTCCCATGACGTTTTCGCTGTTTTAGAATGCAGTGGCAGGCTTTTTTCTTTTAAATGTGTGGTTTATGATAGCATGATTAAAACACCCAAAATCTTGGAAGAACTGTTGCTGCAAATAGGAGTTGCCTTGTGGTGATGTTTTGATGTGGCTGCATTTTCGAGCACCACTGACTGCATTTGTAAGGTTTGATGCACTTAGTATTATGCTTATAGCAATACAGAATTGCACGAACATTTGTCATTCCGTGGTCATTTATCCGTGCTCTAGTTAGCATCAATTGCTGCAAAACCATTAAGGGTTCTATTTATGGCGGTATTATTATTATTATTTTCTCTAGTATTATTTTAAGACAAACGGCAATACAATGTTGAGTATAATCTCTGCATGATTGTCGTGCATAGGAAATGGGATAATTTTCAACATGCTGTAAGCATGCGACTATTTACTAGAAACAAATGTTTACCCACCACACAGACAAATAGGTGATCATTTATTACTTACATCAAGGCCAGGTTCACCATCTTTGCCCTATTAAATAACCATAATAGTTTTGTTAAGCTTTCAGGCTCTTATAAAACTTGAGTGGGCTTAAATATTTGCCTGGATTATTCAGGTATGCACTGTGTACAAAATACAATTCTGAATCCAAAACTGATTTAAGAACAAGCTCTCTGAATGAAGAACAATCACATACAGTGCATTTACCCTTTTTATACTGATTACTCTCTTAAACATGAGAACATATTTAGGTATCACTTAGGGTTATTATTGTTATTGTTAATTATGCTTTTGTTGAATCAAAATAGCATGAAATAGTGAGTTATGATAGATTTCGGCAAACCAAAGTTAACTGTTTGTTAGTTTAGACAACATGAAAAGCAAAACATGAAAATAAAACCTTCCAAACTCTTATTCCGAGTTCTGATGGAGCACAGGAAAGGAAGCAAATGGAAATCCATGGCACTGAACATATACAATGACCAATTAATATCAAGCAATTTAAATGTCGGGGAATGTAATATATGTATGTTGATTATTACATTAGAACTCCTACTCAGGTTACTTTTGCAAGAATAGGTTTCGATGAGGCAAAATGTCATTTGAGTAGAATCTGTCTTATTAATCCTTAGGATACTGGAACTCTTTAGAATTAAAAGGCACCTGCTAACAATCACCCCACATAAAAAGAACACTGGGAAACCTCTGAAACATGTCTACTATTGGGTCAGGTCATTTTAGTAGCAATAGAACCACTGCAAGAAAGCTCAGAAGTGTCTAAAAGAATGTTAATCAACATTCTTTTACAATTCATAACATTCTTTGACTTCTGGTACAAATCAAGGACCTCTAATTTTTTATAAATTGGGAATCTGTTAGAACCTTTCCTAACTAACAAATGCTATTAAGAGGGTCACAAAAGCTTATACCTTTTAATAACATTTATTAAAAGGTGCCATCTGATTCTGATTTTTTTTGTCCCCAGAGGCTAACACAGCCCTCTTCTTGCAATGTCTAGTTTTCTGGAGAATATGAACTGAGGGAGCTGATTATGAATAGGATCACTTTTATTCAGTCATGTCTTCTCATCTTGTAGGATCTGTTAGGGTGGACATTTTCTAAGTGACTTAAACAATAGTTAGTAGGAATGAATATTTACCTATATGACACATGGAGAGATAGAGAATGCTCAAAAGTTGGGAATTATCCTTCACTATTTTCAATAAATATTTTTACTGAAACATTTCTACTGAAACAGTCACCTGAATTGCTGAAAAAATACTATGAAGTCACAAAGCAAGCTGGCAGAAGAACAGATGTTTCCATTGTCATTGCAATGGAGTGTGGTTTGAAATCTGAGACAGATGTTTCCAGAGCACTGCTAGCAGTCTTAATGTTAATCTGAGTGGCTAAAATGCTTGGCAGCAGTTCTTCAGGTTTTCAGACAAATCTTTTTGCCTCAATTGGCGGCATGCTTTACCAAGGAACTATGGTCATTCTTCAATTTAGTTCCTCCGTAACACATAGTGATTTTCAGTAAGCCACTACTGCCAAGTTTGGGGTACTTTTTAATGAACACTTAGTTGACAGATAATGTCAATGGATATGCACTTATTTCACACTCTTCCATTTGCAAAAATATATTGATATGATATTAAATAAAGCTATTTATCTAAGGGAGATGGGTGGTTCAAAAATAAGATAGATAGATAGATAGATAGATAGATAGATAGATAGATAGATAGATAGATAGATGATAGATAGATAGATAGATAGATATAAATAAATAAATCTGATGGAGGAATAGGTCAAACTAATTTATTCTAATCTGATACCGTGTAACTAGATATTTTTTTAAAAATAATATGTGTTAAATAAATTTATACAATTCTTTTTTTATATATCACAGTTTTCACATCTAAAAATTGTATGATTTTTTTTACTTAGGTGCTCTTTGTGCGGTTTCCTTATGTCCTTCTCTCCCTTTCATGTGTGTTTACACACAAATAGTTTCATTTGCAGTTTAAATAAATGATATCATGCATGACACAAAGAAGAATTAAGTACATTTCAATCTTTAAAACTTCCCACAAAAATAATTACTTTCAAACATTCTAATGTTTTCAAATAAACAACATCAAATTCAAATTATATGAATAAATATATGATTCTTTAGCATTCAACCTATAGAAAAATATTTCTATATCAAAATATTTATCCCGAAATTATACTGATATGGAGATGTCTCCTCAATTTATACATATCTACATATAAATATGCGTCTTATAAAATATACATCAAACACAATTTAATATCTGCACATTATAAATACCCGCAATGCTAGCAAAGTTTAATAATTGTTTCCAATATATTGCAATATTCAAGGCAGTTACTTATATCAATCTTTGATGAGCAAAGATACTTTGCCTGACATTTAATGAAACAGGACAATAACATAATTATGTAACATTTAAAAAACAAAAACAACTCTTATCAAATTTGCTTCAAATGCAAATTAAAACATAACAGCATAAAATAGTTTGCATAATTAAGACCTGATTGCTCTTTCCTCTGGAGAGATGTGTAAGGTTTTTTTTAAAAAATAATCTAATTTTTTATTGACACAAATTCATACCAGTATAATTTGGTGCCTAAGGACACCTTCATAAAATTATAAAAATGGCAGGAGCAATACAAAAGAGTTTATATTCAATATTGGTTTTTCTTATTTTGTTTATGTCAAACCTACTTTATTATTTTTGCAAAGTACACTGAGAGGATGAATCTGTCTAAACCTGAAATAAGGAGATAGTCTCATGAGGCATGATGTGCTATTTAAACTAATTGCATTTCTTTGTGATGAACAGTTATTAAATGTACCAAGATTTAATGAAGGGTTTTACAAATATTGCACTTCTGAAAAATCATATAACTTACAGGCAAACCATATGGTCCTCTGGGCCCAGGATCTCCTGCAATTCCTTTTTCACCCTAAAATATAATAATATCAATGCTGCTCATATATAGTAAAGAGAATTTATTATGCAATATGTTTCACTCATTTCTACCTTTCACGAAAGCTCCATGTTGGCTTTCAGAAGAAGCCTTTGGCAGCTCAACAAGACATTTAAGGATTTCTTTGGAAGAAGAAATCATTTATTGTATTTTAAGAGAAGGTGATGTTATTAAAATTGTTTATACTTGTGATGAACGGAAAGTCATTTCTCTATATATTTCTTTTCTTTTTTCTTTACAATATTCTTATTTTTGCTTTCTGTTCTATATCTATTTTTCTTCTTTACACCTATTTTTCTTTTTTCTTTTTTTAGTTTGTATTAGTTTTTTTTATTATTGTGGCTGTAATTTTTATTAAAATTGCTATTAAAAAGAAGCCTTAGGTAAGTCAAGATGAGAGAGAGAGAGGTCTATGCTCACTTCCTGTTATTCATCTCTAAAGGCAAAGCTGTTTTTTGTGTGATTTTGTATGAATATCATAAAAACCTCAAGTATTTACATTATTCATAACATGTTTTACTAGCATACAACTCTTTCTGATGAGGGAGCTCTTAGCACCAAAACGACAATAACATTTTCTCTGTTGAAACAAAAAACAAATGCAGCCTTGAATTGTGCAGCAAATAAAACAGTTTCCTATTAACATCTTTGGAAACAGTCTGGTGTTTTTGCATTTGTGTAAGAATTATAATATTAGGTGGAATGTAGATTTTTGTAACCATTATCATCATGACCGTGATAATTTTGATATGTTGTAAAAACCTAGTGCTTTTAGCTGGTTTATTGCTGTAAGTATTAGGTAACCCTAAAGTATGGGAAAATTCAATAATCAGGTTAGGTATTTTGTATGAATGCAACCATCGTGTATTTCAATAAATAATCTGAACAGAACACAAAATATACAATATTGTTAAGGTATATTTGAACATCTCAGACAAGGACTCACTCTGTCTCCCTTTGGACCTGCAGGGCCATGTGGACCAACGGGACCATCCATACCCTAGAAGAGTAATAAAACATGATCTAAATTTTTTTGGGAATACCTAAATTAAACTTTATATTGAATGAACTCATACAGAATCAAGCTTGATGTCAACAATTGAGAACATGGATTAGAATGATGGTTTAGATGTTGAGATTCCAAATCTCTTGGTTGTTTTTGCAGACTCAGAAACCCCGCTTGTATCCCTTAAATATCTCTGGTGCTTCTTTCTATCTCTTGAATGTTTACTTGCTTGTTTAGATTTATGTAAGATTTAAAATGTAGAGAGATCTTTTTCTAGGAAGAGTTAAAAGGTTAAACAAAGGGAGATAACACAAGAAAATCCCATGTTGAATTCACAAAAAAGACTCACAAAGATAGTTGGGACAGGTGACACACTGAAAAAGGACATTTTCTATGGTCAACTAAACTATTCTACCATTCTCTTGGAAAATGGAGTAATTTGTTTTAAACAACAGAAAAATTGAAGAGGTAAATGTAGTATCTTCCAACTTTATGAATAAGCTGCTTATCCCAGGCATTGCAAATTTTAGAAGGTTTTTTTTAATGAAACTATAGGGAGAATACTAATTAATGGGTGTTGGGGGGAGCCATATCAAACACCAAAACAAATAACAATTTTCCAACATGGCTTTTGTCTTTCTTTAAACCAAGCTACAGTGGCCGGATTAACATCAATGAACAAAGAGAAAGGTGGACTTCTTTAAACTATGATTTCTACAATTATATTGTAGCTTGATGTTATGTCATGTCATTTGCCATGGATATGAGCATATGGGCTATCAATCTATAACCTGATATATATATATATATATATATGTTTATAAATTTAGTTTATAAATAAAGTTTATAAATCCTCTGAGGGAAAATTAGGATACAATATTGCTAAGTAATCACTACCAAAGTTGCTAGTCTATCATTATCAAGAGCTCCCCCACTAAATATCAGTATATAAATAATTTAGTCAGTTCTACTGCAACATAAGCAGACAACGCTACATGGTAAATCAGCTGATATGTTAGCTGGGAAACAATTCGGGAGTGCAGAAGGACGTAGGAACAGGAAGGACTCACCCGGGCTCCTGGCTTTCCATCTAAGCCAGATGCTCCCTGTATAGTTAAGTAGACGCACAGATGACAGGGTAGCACGAATGACAAGAACATTAGATTAGTAACTGTGGTGAAAAACATGTACAACTTCTTTTTTATATACAACTTAAACAGTGTACAGGAATAAGTATGACACTACTACATTAGATAAGTTATAAATTTATACACAAGACAAGTTTATGATTTTACTAGAGGCTATATAACGGTAATGGAATTGCTTAATGAGATCAGAATTAGTCCTTAAATGCTTTAGTGCTACAAAGTTCACTTGCTATAGTGTTTGTTGATCTTTAATAAACACATCATTATTTAAAAGTTAGTAAGAAATACTCAAATAAAACAAAGATATAAGTATATTTTCATACCATAACTAAAACACTAAGGAAGCAGTAGTGCAGTAAAAATTAAATATATGGTCTCACAATAACAGATTTAAAACCATAAAATATTTTAAAATATTTATGTTTTTTACTGAATGACCATCTGTAATAAATTCCTCGATAAGCTAGTTCAGTGCTTTGTAATAATGATGACTTGTGGTTATGATTAGTATAGAAAGAATATTAAAATTAGAGCTATTTTACCAATTATTTCAATAAGTTTAGCCATCATGTCTGAAATATCTGTCAAATTTGCAACCCTCAATTTGGTATTGCTGAGAGTTATATGATCCCTGTGGATATTATATGAACAAGATCAATGCAGTGCTGTCACACACATACCAAAGTGAATTAAAGATGCCAGATAGCTTTATTTGGTAGACTTTAAGTACGTATATGGTGACCCTTGAGAATTTTCACACCTTGATCAAGCAAAGTTATGTATCATATTTCCAATAATTTTATTTCTACAATGTTTTTAAAAGAACTTGACTTTGGATAAATGTCCCTTTGGAATAGATTTTCTCAGTTATTTTACTTTTGTACGTTTTTCATTTCAGGAAGTGAACTTTGCACTGATATGACTTACATTGTTTGTGTTTAGAAAATCTTAACACTTCCAGAAAGCAAAATAAGGATTTTATTATCAACTTGACTGACTACCAATGAATTAGTACCATACAAAGGAGAACAATTCCAAAAAATGTTAAATCATAGAAGATATACTTCTACAAGCAAATGAAAAATAACTTTGTTACATAAACTTGTTAATTAGGATACTAACCATAATTGCCTCATAAAATATCTATATTATAATTACAGCCACTCTGCTTAAACAAAAATCTACAGTTAGCATATGGACAATCTTTGTGTGGACAGTGGTTAATATTTAAACAAAACATTACACAACATTTATATAATGGTATAATTAATGGTAGAAGACTTTAAAATGTTGCCAACTGACAAATAACAATGTAAAAGCAACAAATAACAAAACCATATACTATGAGATGATACAAGATTAGCTTGATTAAAATAAGACACCACTTCAGCATGAGATAGCTTTATATTTGCTATTGAGTAAACCAGAGTTTTGGGCTGAGAGTAGAATGAGAAGCTTGTAATCTGCACTGAAATGGAAGTATTTTACTTACTGGGAGACCAAGGGGCCCTCTGTCACCCTTGTGACCTGGTTCACCCTTCAATCCTTTAAGACCATTTAACCCTGGTTCACCCTAAATATAAAAGTATAAATGCTATTTTGTGAAGATGCTGACAGGGATACTCAAGCTGGGACAGAAGAAAGCCAGTGAAGGATATGAATATAAATCCAGGGTGTTTTTTTTTTTTAACACAAGTGGTTATATTTATCAAAATAGATCACTCACTGCTAGATCATGACATTTTTTTGTATGGCAATAGTCATGACTCCTATTAAAGTAGATGTCATGAAATTATCTACATAAATTTGCATGTTTGAATCATACAGTACGTCTTAGAATGTTTCTGAATAATTTGGATATGGTTTTACTGTCATCTTGCTTATGGCAAAATGTATTTCCATTCATAATCTTGCAGACTTTCAACAAAATTAATAAAGCCAGAAAAATGATTTGATTCATCATAATTACAAAGTATTTTTTTCTACATTGCCTTAACTGGCTATTTCTTCAGATAGCAAAGTAAAATATGCATTATTTCATGACAATATATTCGAAACCTTTAAGCATGGCTATTATCAGTTAAACAGAGGAAGACTGTGATACATTGGCTTATCCTTTCTAATTACCACAATGTAACAGTTACCCCAAAAGCAATTAAATGCTTACTGACAACCAAAGTTATCAAAATTTGAAGTTTCTGATAAGGGAACTCTTTTGCTCTGGGAAAAAAATCTAGATATTTCTAATGAAACCAACATTTATAATTGAAAAAACCCAGGATAATTACCAGTGAATTTTCCCAATTTACAAGAATTGATATGTAAAAATAATTCACTACCTCTGCTAAATAGAATTTCATGACCTTTCTACAGAGCAACCATGTGTACATTTATTTTTGTTTAATTTATAGCCTTTGACCATAGAATTTTATGGTTTCCAGAAAGTTACGCCTGATTTCATTAAGGAGGAAGAAGTTAACTTAGAACCAATGTGAATAAACCATAGCATATTGAATTCTTTTTAAAATAAAGTGTAAATTTTTAAATTAAAAAATATTGTAATTACAACGTTGCATTCTCAAAAAAGACTTTGAAATATGGAAGAAATGCAAATAGCATTAAAGTGTATTAGGGCTTTAATTATTCTTTTTGAAGTGGCTAAATGTTGAACAATGTGTTTGCATGCACATTTAATTCCCATATATTTTAAATAGTATTTTGAACTGCAAGGGTGGATTTTTGACTGGTATTGTTAGGAACAATGGATTTTCAAATACAAAGATATAGGGAAAATAATTCAAATGAACATATTAAGTTAAGATACGAAATGAGTGTGATTAGAAGACTGAAAGACAATAGTGAAGAATAAAATATTTTTTAAAAAACTTTCTTAAGTACATGAACACTCGTCCTCTGTTTTCCTAAACTTTTTTGTAAATTAGTTCCAAATGTCATAGTTTGAAACTATCACCAGACAACTAAATATGAATACTGGCTCTCCATAATTAACATTATAGAAAGCTAATTTAGGTTACATTGATGTGGAACAGATACAGGAAATTGCCATAAATCCTTATATATGTTTTGACATTTTATTTTAAGCTGCTGCTTAAAGGTTTACGAATATTTTAAAAAAATTCACAGAAAAATGAGACAAGGACAAAAATGTTAAGTGCATGCCTCAACATGATTAATGAGAATGACAGCATAACAAATTGGAAAAAATGATTTTAGTTGTGGATTAAATTCTTTACCTTTGGCCCTGGGAGTCCATGAGGTCCCTAAAAATAAATAAAAAATAACAGCTTAAAGGATACACTTCTATATTATTTCCATATATTTATATTGGATGGGCTCTCTGTGTGTATGCATGCGGATGTGTCCATGTGTGCAACTTATGAACGGATGGCTGAACAAAACTGCATTAAGTAATATCTCTTAATTATTTAATAAAAGCCAAGCCAAGTCTAACAAATTAAAAACCTCTATTAATTTTCAGCTCCCAAATGTTTTCTAAAGATGTTGAAAATATATGAAAAACAATTATCAGAAGCAGAATCAATAGGATCTCGCTGCTTGCATTTATGTAGTCAAAAGCATCTTTGCAAAATTACTCCTTTTATACATCTGCCTATATTACAATTCATTAACAAGCATTTGATACCACTGTTCTCCCCCCCCCAAAAAAAAACCTCTTCTACTACTAGGAACACTTGCAATTGTTTTTTTTTTTAATTAGTATTCATTATGTGGACATCTAGACTTTCAAGGACAGGAAACACTGATGGATTGCTTTAATTCATGAATTACGCAATAGATAAATGGCTAAAAATGCTTACCATAGGTCCTGGTGGACCATGTGGACCAGGAGAACCTGGAGGTCCTACAATCTGCATAGAATATATGCATATTTATATACATATATATATATTTAGCAAATAAGTGTATCATTTTAACAGAGAGGGGTTCGTTGATCTGCTGGGACCATGCAATTATCTGTAAAGCCTTGGATGTGCTATTGGTGCTACCCCTTTGTTAGAGCAAATTATGGTTGTTTTTTATTTCACTACTATATTACCCTTCCTAAAGCACAGGGCAGTTAGCAAATTAAAATTAAAACCATTAAGCAAAATCTATGTCCCTTGCACCACAATCATGAAGCGAATTTGCCATGGTCATTAAGCAAGACTTCATGTAGCCATGATTTCTCATTTTTACTTCACCTTTCTCCATTGATTCTGTGATTTGGCTATGAAGCCCATAAATGGCAACCGTGTGGTTTTTAATGTTTTGATCTGTTTAGCTTCATTCTTTTAATATGATACCGTATTATGTTGTTTTTAATTTTTGGTTGGGAGCTGCTCATTGCTGGTTAAAAAACAGGTGTCTATTTAAATGTTTTAAGTGAATAATCAATAATAAACAAATCATATTGATTGTAGACTTATGCCATGGTTGTAAATGTCTGCTGGTTATGAAGCAGCCAAATCTAGATCACATGACAGTGGGGAATGCTGCAATGATCCTAAATGCAAAAATTGGCTTTTTCAGCATGGTCATAACTTCCAAGGGTCAATAACAGGGCAGTCATTAAGCAACAGCTACCTGTAATTAGAAAACCAAAAGATTATATTTACAGCAACACTGAAAGAACATAGCAAGACTCACAGAGGGACCTTGGGGACCTGGTAATCCAATATCTCCTTTTTCTCCTTTCATTCCATTGGATCCCTAAAAAAATATTATGGAATTATCATACATACTGTCATCTTATCAGCTGATGAACTTTACTCCAATAAAACATGACTTACCATGTTGCACCTTACTATTTAATTATAAGACATAGCCTCATACTCCACACAGGTAAATTCAGTCCAAAGCCACTGGAACATCATTAGGCTGGCTGAATCTGTGTTGGGTACCAGCTTCAGTTATTTCAAGATGTCGGGTGCAACTCAAGTGATGTAATCAGAAACTTTTTTTAGATGTTTAGATTTGATGTGCTGGAAATTAGATACAACTTTCCTCAATATGCCACTTTGATTATGTCTGTGTATTTAGCACATCATTAGATTTGTGATTAGGCAGAACAGAGGTGGGTTCCTACCAGTTTGCACCTATTCGGTAGAACCGGTTCATCAAATCTACCGAACAGGTTAGAAGAGGTTCCACCAGTGGACTCGGAAAGCAGGCCACACCTACAGAAGAGGTTCCAAATTTTTTTGAAACCCACCACTGAGGCAGACCCTTATATTTTGATGGTCAAAGAAATTCTGATATTCAGAAAATGCCATTTAATGTAGGATCTCTGACAACAAAGGCATCAGGTTGGGGAAATGATTCTATAGTGACCAATAATGTTTGTCCAGAATCTTAGACTGGGTCCCTCCATACCCTTTGGAGGTAGCAGGAACTGCATGTGGACTTATTTGGATGCAATTGTTGTATTCTATTCTGCTGTATTATTGCAAGCAAACTTGTGGAAACTTGAAACACACATTACTTTAAAGAAGTTTAATTACAAGGAAAATATTATAGACACATTCAAATATTTTTTTTGTTTGAGTTTGAATTGAATTTAACACTGAATTGTAGCAGATGACCAAGCTGACCAAGAGTGTCATTAGTTTTGAATCCCTTCACACCCACAAGAGATATAAATCCATCCCAGCTTGAATTCTATTGACTCTCAACTACTGCCAATTTGTTTTCACCATTAGTAGTTCAGATTCTTATAAAGAATGTAAGCATGACATAAATCAATGTTCAATTGAACCTTGATTGCTCATTTCCTGTGCTTGATATATGAACTTTAAATTTATGAAATGTATCATCACCCTTGTGAGAGCAGTGCACTTGAGAGGAAGAATAAGTGCCCCAACAAACCAGCAGTGTTTTCAGTTCTTTATCTCCTCAGTGGGATTCTGTATACAGCTGCTTTCATTTTACATATACAGTAAGAGTCTAAAGATGTCTGATAATATGGAAATGTTTTCACAGGAATGCTATCTCCTGTAATGCAGGAGACTTGGTCAGGCAATAAATATTACACTATAAGTAAGAAGGGTGAGAAGGGGGGGTAGGGAGGAGAGGGGGAGAAAGAAAGTGCACTTTAAATACTGTTATACAATATATACTGCTTTATCTTATAAACAGTTCACCTTCCACTGTTTAATTAACATATTTATTTGCAATTTTGCTACTTAGCTTTGTCACATCTTGGAGTTAAAACACAATTAATTGGTTTACCATCAAAGCAGTTGATTTAAATGTTGCCAAAGTAAAATAAATCAATAATAATTTATTATTTCTATACCTTTTTGATTTTAATTTACGCATAAACAAACACACGTATGTTCAGTGCATTTACACTACCCATACACTTGGAATTCCTTCCACAAAAAATACTATTTCTTCTGTTCTTTCAAAGCTTTCTTCAAAGCTGTCAATTCTTTGATTCCACTAATCTGAAATTAATTAAAACTACCACTCTTTTCTCCCTGTCTTCCATTGTTGTCCTTCCTTTATGTAAATCTTTTTGCATAGTACCAAGTGACATGTTCTAAAATAAAACAATATGAATGATTGTCTTTGAGAAAAAGACACCATAGCAGTAGTGAGAAATGATGCTATCAAATACAATTTTAAACAAACTTACTGGCAAACCAGGAAGTCCAATACCTCCTTTTTCTCCTGATATTCCAGGGTCACCCAGATCACCTTTTGAACCTTTGAACCCCTGAAATGGCATATTTATGACAATGAACTGTGCATTATACTAACAATGTAAATCAATTTGAACTATATTAACTTCAGAAGTAGAAAATGTAATTACATTAATAACTGGAAGTATCTTTTATTCTTCAAAGATAGTGAAAAATATTCTGCAGCAACATATATTTTTCCTCCTCTCTTCCTCCCTCCCTCTCTTCCTTTATATTCAGTTTTTACTGAACCATTATCATATCAAATTCCTTTATCAATAGTAATATCATAATTATGTTCAAGTACCTGCTCCCCATCAGCGCCAGGTAATCCTGGTGATCCAGGTTCACCCTGCAAAATAAAATCCAACTCCAACTTAATTCCACAGTGGTATTATTTAGATTTAGATTTTAGATTTAGATTTTTAGATTTTAATAGCATTTATAGGCCGCCCTTTTCCCTGAGGGGACTCAGGGCGGCTTACAATAATAAAGGAAGGGGAGTGAAGACAAAACATAAAAAGAAATGTGCAATAACTAAAAAATACTAAAAACACAACATTCTCTCAGCATTCGGGAGGGGCGGAAGAGTTTATCCCCAGGCCTGACGGGCTAGCCAGATCTTGAGGGCTGTACGGAAGGCCTGGACTGTGGTCAGGGTACGAATCTCCACGGGGAGATTGTTCCATAGCGTCGGAGCAGCAACTGAGAAGGCTCTCCTCCGGGTAGTCGCCAGTCGGCACTGACTGGCGGATGGAATACGGAGGAGGCCCGCTCTATGCGATCTGATGGGACGCAGGGAGGTTATTGGCAGAAGGCGGTCTCTCAAATAGTCAGATCCACTACCATGGAGCGCTTTATAGGTGGTAAGTAAGACCTTGAATTGCACCCGGAGATCCACAGGCAGCCAGCGCAGCTCGCGGAGGATAGGTGTTATGTGGGCGAACCGAGGTGCGCCCACAATCACTCGCGCGGCCGCGTTCTGTACTAGCTGAAGTCTCCGGGTGCTCTTCAAGGGCAGCCCCATGTAGAGCACGTTGCAGTATTCCAGCTTAGAGATCACAAGGGCTCGAGTGACTGTTGTGAGAGCCTCCCGATTCAGGTAGGGCCGCAACTGGCGCACCAGGCGAACCTGGGCAAATGCCCCCCTGGTCACAGCCGATAGGTGGTGATCAAAACTCAGCTGTGGATCCAGGAGGACTCCCAAGTTGCGGACCCTATCTGAGGGGTATAAATTTTGTCCCCCCAGCCTGATTGATGGTACGGTGGTCAAATTATTGGGAGGAAAACACAACAGCCACTCGGTCTTGTCTGGGTTGAGCACCAGTTTGTTTGCTCTCATCCAGTCTTTAACAGCTTCCAGACCCTGTTCCATCACGTCCACCGCTTCATTGAGTTGGCACGGGGCGGACAGATACAATTGAGTATCGTCCGCATATTGGTGATACTTTATCCCGTGCCTCCGAATGATCTCGCCCAGCGGTTTCATGTATATGTTGAATAGGAGGGGGGACAAGACCGACCCCTGTGGCACCCCACATGTTAGGGGCCTCGGGGACGATCTCTGCCCACCCACCAACACCGACTGCGACCTGTCCGAGAGGTAGGAGGAGAACCACTGCAAAACAGTGCCGCCCACTCCCACCTCCCGCAGTCGTCGCAGAAGGATACCATGGTCGATGGTATCGAAAGCCGCTGAGAGGTCAAGGAGAACCAGGATGGACGCAAAGCCTCCATCCCTAGCTCTCCAGAGATCATCGGTCAATGCGACCAAAGCGGTTTCTGTGCTGTAACCTGGTCGGAAGCCGGACTGGAAGGGGTCAATATTATCTGGAATATTATGCAATTTAATACTAAATAAATAAGTCTGTTTGATCAATGTGCTTTCTCCTTCCTGCTTCTTCCTACACGGAAGAAATCAAAGGCACTTACCGGTACTTCAATTTTTGAACTAAACAGTGTTTGTCGCTTTGTTTGAACTAGAAATTCTGATTCACTTCCAAAATATGCTTTTTTGAAACAAGCAATAACAACAGCAACCTATTGGTGGATCTTGATGTGGTTCAACAAAGTTTCTCTATCTAATGCTTCACAAAAGACCAGGAAGAAATGGACAGGTCTATAATTTTTGGAAAATCATGAAATTCTTTCATAAATAATATTCCTGTAAATAATTGTCTAGATAATCTTGCTTTACAAATGCTTGGTATTTAAATTATTTTAAAGTACTTCAAGAATAGCATAAGAAAATTAAATGATCATTCAAATTTGTTGAACAAACTTAGCAGGTATGCAATAATTTGTTATTGAACTAATTTTTTTTTAATCAGTGTCTTGTAAGATCTTCAAAGCACACAGTGGTACAGACTTCACATGTCATTATTAATTATATGAAATACATAATGTACTGATAATCACACAAATACAATTGATATGCTCACCTTTGATCCTTGCAATCCTTGGGGTCCAGGTGGGCCTGGAGGACCCTAAATATAAAATTAATTCACTTTATTGCAGTATATACTACCCATATATTCATCAAACTTTTTTTCTGAAACATTCTAATATGTTATGCAAAATATGCATCACAACAAGAAAACGGCATTAAAAACAGTCAAGGACTAACAACATCAATGACAATTGATGACCACATACAGATAAACAGATAAAATGTGTTAAATGTCATAATGACAGTATTAAACAGCAATGATGAAATCTGACTCTAATAAACTAAACAGTTTTTGGCTAACAAAGGCAGATATGCAATCTAATTGTAGAATAATAGCCAATTTATATAATCCCTAGATATTTAAAAGGCTACCTATTCCCAGCTAAAGACTAGCCATCCAAAGATTTTTTTTAAAAAAGCACATTAATTTTCATTTACAACCTTGCCAAAGAGATCAAGACAAGGATAGGGTTAAGTCTGATATAATCTATATTACAGTATCTAAGAATTATTAAGAATTTATCAATTCTATGGATTAAATAAGCAGCTGACATGATCAAAGGACAAAAAAAAACATTAGTGGGGGTTAGGATATGTATGACAAATCATTCCCGACTCAGATTAAAACAGCCTTTCTCAACCTTTTGCCCTGAAGGAACCCTTGAAATAATATTCAGGTTTCAGATTGCCCCTGCATAAAAACCCACAAAAAATATGAAACCTATACAATGCTTTACAACCTGTACAACATTAGCAAAGCAACAGGCCAGCAGCTGAATCCTGGCACATAAAAATTCCAATCGCTGAGAGCACTAGAATTACAAGGCATGCAATGTTAAAAAAATATTTATCTTTTTTCAATCATGATCTCTTGCAGACTTCTTGTGGAGCTTAGGGACTCATGGAATCCCAGTTGAGAAGACTATAATCTAATTTCAAAGATTACTGACTCCCTAGTACCAGAAAATTATCCAGAAAGTACTGAGAGAGGAAAACTACAAGACTATTGTCCTCCTTTCTGCATACTTCTAATTAGTAAACTTGTGTAATTGTAAATCTTGTAAATAAGTCTTGGATAAACAAATCCGTATGGAGTTCCACTAGAAAAAGTTAAGTCTTGTAGCAGGATAAAATATGGTCTAGTTGGCTGTTAATGTTAGGATCATAACTACTTTCCAAAACCCCGGGTATAATAACTACAACATAAATTGCCCAGTCTTTACAGAGTTTTAATAGCATCTATTCAAAAGGGTCACACTTAAAGTTTATTTTTTTATTTTATTTTTAAAAAGTCACACACCTAAATTTCCCGTCAAGATCTGGAATGAGTGGCATCGCCAGGGAGCTAAACTCCCCCAAATAGGAAGGAAAAGACAAGATCTAGCTTGTTTTTTTTAATGGAGGTCTGATTGCAACGATTAAGATATTTGGGGCTGAGTTAGGGTATGCAGACACTATGATGCTTCCAATCTGTGCTCTACATGATTTTAGTCAGAGATATTCTCTACTCTGCTATGCGGTAAGCAGAAAAGACCAAAAGGATAAGAATTGCTCTTGAGACATTATGCCATATAGTTCAATGTAAGTATTCAGTAAATCAATAATAGAAGCTGTCATTTAGCTTTCTTTTTTTCTTTCAATACTAATTTGACATATAGGCATTCCATGCTAGTGTCATACAGCAATGAAATAATAAAGAAAAACCTATATGTATTAAAAATTGGTTTATAACAAATAAAACAAAGCGAAAGTTTCATTGAAATACTACTAATACCTAATCATCTTACATGAATTATAAAAGCCAAAACCCACTTAAATATTATCCTTATCATCATAATAACAATAATAATCTGCATTTATTTTGTACAACTCTAGGTGTTGTGGATAATACTCCCACTTTCTATTTCATTACAACTCTTTGAGGGGAATTGAGCTGAGAGAATCCAGAAGTCACTCAAATGACTTTCATACCTAAGGATGACTAAAATTCATGATTTCCCAGTTTTCTAGTTCAGCACCTTAGTCAGTATACTAAACTGGCTCTATATTTCCTGGAAATATAATTGTTTATCTATATTTGGCTGACTTCATTGTTAACTTGTTTTATCTGTAAGGCAATAAAAGCAGAGGTGAAAAAAGCCAATAGGAAAGTACAAAAATTGAGGCTCAATGATGTTTTCAATTAGTTTCTTGCAATTCCTGTTAATGTTATTTTACACATTTTTAAATAATACAAATATTCCATTTTAGTCATTATTGATTAGATAATATAGTATAATATAATATAGAAAAGGAATATTTTTATAGACAGTGATTGCATTGAAATTTCAAGCGACTCAGTTCAAAAAATGACTTATTATGGCAATTAAATTCATATCATTTGTACTGAATGAAATAAATACAATTTTGAATCATGTTCTGTATCTTCTAACACAATCAATATGATTTTTTTAAAAAAACAATTAATTTAGAAAAGTAAGTTATAGGAAAAATCAACCCCCCTTTAAGCTATTGCATTTTAAAATTTCCACTGAAAATTGCACTAATGCCTGGTTTAAATCAACATGGTTAAACAAATCTTATATTGCTAATGAAGACTTAAATCTATACTTTTTTTTGCTGAAATGGCCATACTGCTGCTATTAATTACCATAAGTACTAAAACTAGAGTCCTAGCTTTTCACAATGCATCCACTGATACACCTGATGTAGAAAATAGAGGTGGTGTTAATGCACAGTTAACATCTGATGGACAGAGACATTTGTAAATCAGAATAAGTGTAAACATGCAACATCACACAAGAAAACAGCTACAAAACACCGTCATGCAATAGGAATTACCGTGACAGTTAAGGTGGTAATCCTCTGTTGGCAAAATATATTAGCAGAAAATAATATTACCAGATGTTCAGTTTGAAACCGAATACTTTGCTTATTTAAGAACAGATTTCACAGAAATGGGGAAAGTTTGAAAGAAGCATTTGACTAGCTGCCCAAAAATAAGATTGTCTAAGTACCACACTTACATCTTTACATCTAAGTATCTACATGTAACAATCCATGTATTTAATGAAGTATTTACTATGAATTACTTCCTTTGCTTTCAAAAAGAAACAGTACTGTCAATTTCCTATTGCATTATAATGATTTTAAGATCAATTATATGCATCAGTGGAATTATAAATCATTAGGTGACGATAATTATCTATATTTAACTATGCGTGACTTAAAGGGGATGAAATTAATTTATATGAATAAACTGTACAGTGTTGAAATATATAAAATAATAATGATCTGAATAGAGCAAGATCAAATAAAATACAAATAAATACAAGAATTATGAAATTTAACTAAAAAGAAATATTTATTTATATTTGACTACAACATATATTTTTAAAATAAAATAACTTGTGTCACTTCACTTCCAAAAGATGTGGACAAACTGGTTTTAGCATTTAGCAAAAGCTAACTTTAAATTTATTATAAATTTAAAGTAGATTAAATGCTTAGATTTAATCATTTATAACTTTGTCTAAACAGTTAACACGAATAAAAAGTTATTTCCCTTATATAGATAATTATATTAATTCCTATATTTTGGATGAAAATCCTATCTATAGTTATATATTTTATCACCAATAAAAGGATTTATTTTTGAAATGTTTACTTTTTCACTATTTTGAAGGTTATTGGAGAATCCAGTAAGGATATGGTTTTTAAATGTTTATTCCTTCAGTATTTTGATTGCTGTTTATACATTTATCTCATATTTTGTATGTAGACGTTAAACGGTTACTACTTTTCAATGAGGAAAGTTTTCTATTCCGTAAAGATTATGGAATGTAGCTTTCATGCAACAAAATCTTGCTATAACTTATAACCTTCATCTTCAGAAAGGAAAGTTAGTGATTGATCTCTATAGTGAGTCTTTTGTTTACTGTGCTAAGCAACCACCACAGGCATCAAAATTAAATTCTATATAGCTTGAAAAGTTCTTTGAAAAAGTCCTTGAAAAGGGATAAGGCTGAATCTTATATTGGCAAAAGCAACTAAGTTTGCAAAGATATATCTATATAATGAGACAGTTTTCTGAGTAGATAGATATATGATTAAATTGTAAGAATCATTGTTATTTCATATCCAAAATCCCTTAAGTGATACCTAGATTAAAAAGCTTCATTTCATGAAGAATCTTTTGATTATTCTGAGGTACTAGTAACCGGACTGGACACTTATATATGGAGTATTCTAATCATTTCTCATATTTAGCATCTGTGTTTTCTACAAACATTACACCTTAGCTGACTCTCAAGTCTTCATATAAGCAAATAAGTCAGTGTTATGAACTAAATTCCAGGTGGCTATAGTGATTTCAGTTACGTCAAATTTATTTTAAAAAATAAGACAACTTTGGACATAAATTAACGGCAATATATTTTCAGAAATGAATTACAAGATATGTAATTTACACAAGACTTTCCTGTCCATTACCAACTATGGGTAAAGTTAACAATAAACAGCTAGAATAAAATAATTACAACTAATTGTCCCACGTAGCCATTTATCCTATATTAAAATAACTTCATTTGAAATATATATTTTTGTGAGCTATTTTGTTTCTTTTACAACTTCCCAGTCTAGTTGATAGCTAGCTATATAGCTATATTATTGATCACAAACCTGTAATGCTTCATGGATATTTCCATTGAAGTCAATGATTTCTGTAGCACCTTGGTCACCTTTTTCTCCAGGTGGACCCTATAAAAAAAGCACTGTAAATGTACAAACATGTTGCATTTGTCACAAGCCCACATTACAAATTGTGTTAATGAACGCAATAAAAACAATTTCATTTTCCTAGGCTCGTTTTGCAAGTGTAACTACTTACAGTACACGTCGTTCCACTAGTATATGTGAACATTAATATATTCTTAATTCCACCTATTTTCTAATTTAGAGTTAAGGAAAGGCTCACAAAGATTGGAGAAAATTTTCTTTCACCCAACAGAGATTGGGTCTTTGCACAATGTGTTCAAATACATTTTTTGACAACTGATTTCATTTTTGTTGGTAGTCTATCCAAAACAGTAGAAATTATAAACTACTTCAATGTCTGTATTGTCAGCTCTAAATATGGTTGCTGTATCTGTTGTCATTGGCTTAGTCCAGTGATGGGTTTCAATTTATTTTACTACTGGTTCTTTTGTGCGGGCGCGTGCACTTGTGCACATGCATAGAGGCTTCTGCGCATGCGCAGAAGCATTCAGACAGGTGGCAGAGACTCCCACCGCTGCCACTACCAGTTCACCCGATCCAGGCCGAACCAGCAGAAACCCACCTCTGGCTTAGTCTGATCTATATTTACAACCGGTTTCTTTGTAATTTGTATTGTATACTTTGAATGCATTATGCAATTACCTAGCTTTCTTGAGAAATCTATAATGCTGGGAAAGATGGAAGAAGAGAAAAGGGGATTACCAGTAACAAAGTAGATAGTCTCAACTGCTGTGTAATTTCACAGCTACAACGTAATGGCATTAGCAAAGCACAGATTATTGATATTTATTGGATTATTAGCATTTGCTAAACCTAATCCCAATTATATCAATATTACTTTTTCAAACTCTAGAATGCAATTCCAGCTATATCTATTCAGCATTTCTTTTTTTTCCTTGGTTTTCTTTTTTTTGAGGGAGAAAAGTCTTTAATCCATTTTATGGTTGTGAGTATGCAAATGTGACTTAGTTTCATATATCAGTTATTTAATGCTTCGGGGAAAAGGGCGGCATATAAATGAAATAAATCCATAAATAAATCCTAATGCGCAAGGCTGTAGATGTGTAAATTGTAGTAGATGTTGTAGATGAAAACATACATGAAATCATTTAGAGTCAGACAACATTAATTTAATAAATTATTAATAATAGTAGACAACTATTTGTGAGAATATATATATATATATATATATATATATATATATATATATATATATATATATATATATATA